TTTCTTAAATATTTAAAACAATCCTTTAAAAAGCTGTTTCAAATCCATCTGGCCTCTTAACTCTCGCCAATCAACATTCTTAATTCCCTTTCACCGTTTCCAAATATTAATTTTTTAAAAAATCTTTAAACTTACTTTAATCTTCTTTTTCCCAGGATAGTAGGAAATTCTCCCAGTGTACAGCGACTTGCCTTTCAGGAGGTTTTTGATTGCCAAATAAATCACAAATAGGCAGTTTACGATGTTAATTAAAAGAGGAAGTAAAGCAAATCTAAATGTCCTTTTGAAGGCTCCGCACCATGGCTTGGGCTCAATGTTTTCCTTTGACTCCCAGAGCGTGCCATCCGCTAGAGGTTGCTAGTTTGCAGTCTCTTCACAAGGATTCTCTGTAAGGAGTACCTGTGGTGATCCTGTCAATCTCCTTTATCTGGAGATGATTCCAAGGAGTTGAACCGATGCCGTTCCTCTAATTGCCATGGGCACCACTCCACAAAAAAAACGGAGCTGTGTTCAATTGGCCATTTTTTCCCCAGAAGCCCCCAGCAGCTGCAGCTCTTCAACTGTCTTTTAAGAGTAGCCCTATCTAAACTGCATTGCAATAATTCAATTGTACATTTAAAATGAAAAGCCATAATTGTAATTATATAGCTAGAGTTGGATATAGCCATGTAGCTCTAAAGTGATTAACTTTGGAGAGCAATTTTGCATTTATTCCTTTGGCAGGAGAACAATATCAACTTATTGGCTTAATCACTCCTTCCAGGCACAGTGTCTCTTGATTTAACTGAGACAAGAGTGTCCTCAGCGTAACTATAACAGCATACTCTGACTTTTCAAAAAAACTGTCCCCTGGCAGCTTCATATAAACTTGGAGCAGTGAGGGGATATGAGGAGGGAGGGAGGGAGGGATATGGGACCTTGTGAGATCCCGTACCATAGATGCCATGAGATGCTTCAAGGCTACTGGGTAGCATTTTTCCATACCTTCCAGCTAATAGGAATAGAGATTAAGCTGTGTCACATTCAAGCTGTAGGTTCCTCAAAAGCCTACAGGTAGTCTTCAACTTACAATCACAATTGGGACCACAATTTCTGTCTCTAAGCAATGCAGTTGTAAAGTGAGATGTCACGTGACCACATCACTTAGCAACAGCAATCCTGGCAGAGCCATGGCGCATCAAAAACCCCTTTGTGCAATACTCCTGGGCCAGGCTGGGGCTGGGCTTTGCACTGCAAAAAAAAAGTAAAAGCAACCCCTGAGCTACAGCACGCCAAAAAGCTGTCTCAGCTGCACCCATGGATTGGAACTGCCCAGGAATTGCAAGGAAAGGATCCAGTGGAACTGAGCCAAACTGGAGTCTGACTTTGCCACCCCACTCCTGCCTGCACATCCTCATCCCTCTTACGAACCCCCATTCACCTGTTGGGTTTTTCCAGGATAAAAGCAGCAGCGCCCCCCACCTCCCAAGCCTATTGTTAGTCTAAGTCTGCAGGCAGACACTTCCTCCCCCCAACCATCCCAACTTCCTACTTGGAAGAAACACCTCAAAGAGGGTTCGGGCTTCAAGTTCCTTGCAGCCAACTCCTAGCCGCTTTTTACTTTTTTTTTTCACAGTGCAAAAAGGTACCAAAGAGTGTTTGCCTTAGGAAACATCTTGCAGGAGTTGAATCTGCACCTTGGATGGGGAGACAAAGAAGGCAGTGGCAGTCCTTGCAGGAATGAAGCCTCGCATGGGAGGCTGTATTTGCTTTGCTAGCAAGCCCCAGTCATGCACTTCTTGGCTGTGAGGAACCCTAAGTCCGAACCCCCTTCAAGGTCTTTCTTCCAAATTGGAGGGTTGGATGGTGGAGAGAAAGTGTGGAGCTCAGACTCCCATTCAATTTTGCCTTGTTCCTTCAGGTCTTCCTTTGGTGGCAGATGTTTTTCAAAGGGGAAGCCATTGCCTGCAGACTTCAAATGTACACATATAAGAAGTAAACAAAGACAACAAAATATAACAAAGCAAAATAGAATAGATAAGAGTAAAATTTGGATAAAAGAATCAAAGGACTCCTTCACGACAGGATTAGACACCTAAAGCTTTCTTATAGTAATAGCTATAAGAACTTGGAAACTCTGTTCATAATAGCAGGGTTCTACTCTAAGAGTAGAAAACAAACCACTTCTCCCTCACTGAAAGCTTGATCTCTACTAGGAGGTGGTATACCACCACGTAAGTTCTTGTAGAAGGGACAGTGAAGAAATACATGCACTAAGGTCTCAGGTTCATTCTGGCTCAGGGACAATTTCTCTCACTAAATTTTATGAAACCTCCCATCCAATACTGCTGAGGGTAGAACATTAAAGTGGGCCGAAAAGAAGGTTCTACAATGTGTTGATCAAACCAGATTGAACAGTTTGCAGTCAAAAAGGTTTTCAGGAAGGAACCCATCCTTGTAGGATGCCTATAGTGCTCAAGTCTGTCTGACATGCAATAGCGAAGACTCTTGTAAATCTCAGCTTTTGCTTTCTCTACCTAGAGGTAGCAAAGAGTGAATAGAAAGGCCACAATAACACAGGTTAGCTATGGTTTTTACTTTCTATCTTGATGCAAAGTCATCAAGAATTAGTGGGGCCAGCGGGCCAACAGAAAAGTTCGAGCCAATAAGAGATGGCAAACCTGAATTCTCACCTCCAGGAGGATCATTCCTGTTTCCATGCAAATAGAATGGTTGGAACAGAACCTGGAAGAGTGCTTGCAAAGCAAAAATGGGTAAAAAATCAGACTATATACATACAATTTTTTATATTCCAGTTTATATTTATATTCAATATAAAGTTAATTATGTGGAGAGAGGATTCTCTACATGGCAAAATGCTGTAAAGCATATTTGGAGGCCCTTTTGCTCATTTTATAGTGGATCCGGGTGTCTTCTGATTGCATCTCAAGCCACGGAACAGTACAGCTTCCCTTCTTTCCCCAATTTCACAAACTCCTTTGGTTTTTGCAGCTTTTTGCTTTTTAAATCTTTATTTAAATTCTATGCAGTTCATTATAGTGGAGAAAGTGGGAGAGACTGAAAATGTACCTCTCACAAATCAGGGTTTCGAGTTATAAAATGATTGGGTCCAACTCTGGGTAGGAAAAAAAATGATCAGGAAAAGTTTTCAGATTTTCAGCCACCAATATCTGAGTAGTATTTCTGCCCACCATGCTGTCTTAGCATGGAGATGATTACTTAGAATGGAATGAAAAGTGATTTGGGGGCTGGGGGTTAAGTGTCCCATTGAAAGGTTTCTGTTGATTATTTTGCCTGGGTTTAGCCTTGTCAGCCGTTGTAAGCTATTGCCCTTTGTGCTGGGAGTTGAAGTTCGCACATCTTGAAGCGGCCAAGGGCGAGAGACGCCGTTCCGCACCACCCAGGTACGCTGACCGCTCGCGCGCGAATCTCCCGCCTCTCTCCCCATCGCACAGAAAACCACGCCCCCTCGAACTCCCGTCACACCCCGCCCCCGTTTAGCATCTCCAGCAACGTCCGGGGCGCCTGACCGGATGTGACGAGTCACGCGAGAGACGGAAGGCGTCGTCGCGCTGTCTCAAGAGTCACGTGGCGGCAGGGACCGAAAAGCGACGGGGACGCCGTTTAAGGTTGGTCGGTTAAAGTGTTCAATGCCGGAAGCGAGTGGAGGTTTGTATGGGGGTAGCGGCTGCGTTGTTATGAATGCCCGAGAGAGGCGGGGGGGGGGGTTCTCTTTTTCCCGTCTTTTATTTTTTTATTTGGGTTTCTTTTTTCTCCCCCTTTTGGATTTGATGGAGGGGGGGGGTGGGGGCTTCTTTCG